GGGGGGGGGGGAAACAAAATATTTCTATTTAATTGCACCATCAAATCTACTATTTAAAAAAAGAAAGATGCAACGTGTTTTGCAGATTTTCCCTCACTTCCTGTCTGGGGGAAACCATTGTCAACAGCCCAGTAAGTGAGGAGGAATCTCTATAACTGAGCCCCAGATAGCAATATAGCCTGAGAAGGGTTCTACCCTTCCCCACTCTATGCAAAACTAAGAAAAAAAAGAAGTCTTGGCTGGACATACACTTCAACCATCGGTGGCCGTACACATATACTGTATACAGAATCACAGATGTGGGCTTTCTTTCACAGGGCCACATATGTGCTTACCTGTGTTTGTGCTGGGTGCACGTTTGATTACGCGCCCCCAGCACAGAGACTGAGCTGTCACCGAGAGCTCCTCATTTCAAACCAGTAGTCTGGAGCCCGGAGGATTGGCTCCTGATCATGTGATCACTGTGATACCCAATTAATAACATTGTCCCCCAAATGAAGACCCAACTTGTCCTGAACAAAACAAGGTGTAATTCACCTGGATATTTTAAAGCCGTAGTTCTCAACTGGTGGGTCGCGACCCTGTGTTCAGTGGAACAAGAGAAAGGATCCTTGCTGCACTCCCATGTGGATGTACCAGAATGCTGTCTCTCATATGCAGCATATGAGGGACAGCATTCTCCAATAAATGAACACTTAAACTGCTGTAACTATCGCTTAGGGGTGCTGGTGACGTTCTTCAACTATCTGTGTTCAGTGGGTCGCCGCGTGCCTTCCACTGCGCTAGGTGAGAGACTGCTCAGCCTCCCCCTAGCGCAGCACTGTCAGTTCTTGCACCCAGCAGCCATTCACAATATGATGCCCAGCGCCAAGTGTTAGTTTGGGGTAGGCTGGGAGTATGGCTGCGAGGAGCTCTATACATATGTGCATTGCTTACAGCTCCCTCACATGCCCTGTAGAGGTGCCTGGACCGGAGTTGCGTCACATTCTGGCTCCCGGCACCTCTACAGAGTGCGCAAGGGAGCTGTAGAAGCAATGGATGGAGCTTCGTCACAGCACAGCACCCCACACTGTACGCCAGGCTGAGGATCCACTCCAGTTCTCGTAAGGTCGAAAAACTGGGTGGATCTAAAAAAAAAGTGTGTGTGAGAATGTCTGTGAGTGTGTGAGATTGTGTCTGTGGTTGTGTGTGTCTGTCAGTCTTTTTGAGGGCACGTTCACACTAGTACAGTGTGTTAATCGCACGGTCCAATGCAGTAAATGCACTGTGCCACGCAATCGCACCTACTGTGCATCCTGGTGTGGAAGGGGCATTGCATTGCCATTCATTTGAATGGCACCCCAAATGCCCCTCCTGCCCACAGTTCGATCGCACAGTACCGCAATGCTGTGTGTTCCACTGTGGTGCGACCTAATGACAAAAGTGGGTCCAGAGATAACACAGGTTGAGAACCATCTTACAAAGATATGTACAGTTTTACTAACATGTGCTAGAGTTGTAAATCTGTCTTCAGACATTAAGGTTTGTTATTTCCAGTCCAGAGATTTACCCAGCCTAGCAGAAAGCACAGCCAATCTGGTGCCCTGACTTTGTTTTGCTGCAAGTAAGACACATATATATATAGGTCACCTCCCTTCCTCTAGCCTGTGATTGGACAGCTAAAGAGCAGCAACAGACAGATGGGGTCATCACTCAACATGTCGGCATGTTTCTTATCACACACAGCACAGCTGATCAGCCAAAAGTACTACCCAATCTCCTTAAATGCTACTGCTTAGAGTGTTCCAAAAACCTGAGCTAAACTCTGATGGCATTTAAAATCGGTGCAATATCTTTTAGATAAATACAAAGCTGCATTTCATTGTGTTTTTAATGTGCTCTGAGTTTAGTTTGAACTAAGATTACTTTTCTACCAATGTTTCATGTTACACCCATGCTTAGGGTTTAATATGAAACATGGTTACATATATATATTTTTTTTTTCTTTTATCTTTTCATTCTTTGTGATGTTTCTCATGTCTGCCCCACTTGGTTAGATACACTAATGGAAACGACAGAAGCTACTCGGAAATAATAAAAACATGTTGTTTATGAGACTCGCACGGGTAAGACACTCGCCGTCTAAACATCTTGCCTTGTCTTTATGAATTTCCAGGTATGCGGCCTCAAACTCTCAATGGTCCAATGCACCCGCGTCCTCTCATAGCGCTGCTGGATGGAAGGGACTGCACAGTGGAGATGCCAATCCTTAAAGATCTTGCTACTGTGGCTTTCTGTGATGCCCAATCAACACAGGAAATCCATGAAAAGGTAAATCGAGTATTTATCTGAAGGTGTATAGACGAGTAGTGTGTGTGTGTTGTTTGACTTGTATAAAAGCGTATTCTAGGCTGTAGTGACATATATGACCGCTGTAGCAACCAGTACTTAGGGTAACATTATATATATATATATGGCTAGCAAGCAGTAGATATATGCAAAAACTTTTTTTTTTTAAAAGATTTTCAAACAGGTTTAAACGTATCTGTTTCTTCACTGCACGCTCCCGTCCAAACATCTGAAGAGTCTCGGGCGGCCGCAAAGGATCTTGGGGAGGGCGCATGCGATCTTCAGATGTCTGGCCGGGAGACGAGGAGAGACACAAGGTAGCGTATTTTGCGGTCCATAAGACGCACCGGACCATAGGACGCAGGGAGGTCCGGCGCGTCTTATGGAGCACTCGAGACTGTAGCTTCTATGACAGAAGCTGCAGTTAGTGACCGCTGAGACAGGTGGCGCTGTGATTACAGCGCCACGGTCTCAGTGATCACACAGAGCAGGCGAAGAACGTCTATTCTTCGTCTGCTCTATGGTGATCTCCATCGTCGCCGCTGCTCGGTTTTAATAGGAGTGATCTCATTAGATCACTCGTATTAAACGAGCAGTGGCTCCTGCTGCTGAATACGATCGTCGCCGCTGCTCGGTTTTAATACGAGTGATCTCATTAGATCACTCGTATTAAATGAGCAGTGGCTCCTACTACTCGCCCGGCACCCGAAACTGCATGTCTCTGGCGTCGGGATTCGCTCCGTAAGACACAGGCACATTTTCCACCCTCCTTTTGGGGGGAAAAGGTGCTTCTTATGGAGCGAAAAATAAGGTAAGTCTATGGAGCAGCGTGCACCCGCATCAGACTCCGTGGGACATGAGAGAAGAGGAGGACAGAGGAGTCAGCGCTGGATCGGAGACCCGCACCCAGCGCTGGAGGGACAGCTGTAAACTACACTAAAGAAGAAGAGGATCGGATTAAGAGACATCATTTAAGGTAAGTCCTTACACTAACATTGGGGGAGGGAAAAAAATATCCTTTAATGTCACTTTAAGGCACATTCACACCTTAGCGTTGCGTTAATCACACAAAACCGTGCAATATAATACATGCTATTGCACAGCACACCTAGCATATGTTACCCTGCGCTGGGTGCATTGCGTTACCATTTATTTGAATGGCACCCCAATGCAACTCTCGGCGGTACTGCAATAACGTGTTGTGGAGAAAAAAGTAGAACATGCCGTACTTTTTCACTGCAAGGCACAGTAATGCGGCAACACATGGCCGTCGGGAGGTGCGCATGGGTGCCATTCAAATGAATGGCAGTGCAACACACCTATCGCATAGTAATTCACACACAGTGGGCTGTGCGATTGCTTACTTTAAGCGCACGGTATGGCATTGCATGCTTAACACAGCACTATGGTGTGAACAGGCCCTTACAGCCTGCGTTAAGCATGCAGCCGTCTTTATTATACCAGATGGAACTCTGCACATTAGTATACCAGTGGTAGAAATGCTGTATATGGGCCTCATTTTGATCAGGAATTTTAATCCTTGGGCGCTTTCAAGGTTTGTAATTGTATCTCTGTGTTGTAGGTTCTGAATGAAGCAGTGGGCGCCATGATGTATCACACAATAACGCTAACACGTGAAGACCTGGAAAAGTTCAAATCTCTGCGAGTTATAGTGCGGATAGGCAGCGGATATGACAACATAGACATCAAGGCTGCTGGAGACATGGGTATGTGACTGTGATGTGAATGATGAGACAATCACACTTTATAGGCTTATTCACAAAGAGCACCGGGCAAAAATGTACAAGATGCAGTCACCCGCCATCTGCAACCCTTTGTCACTGCCAGGCAGTGTGAAGATGAAGTACTCTATTGTGCTTTTGTGTGAGACCACTACTGGGCCCATATCCAAACAAACCAAATAGAAGGAGATCTATGAACAGGAATTCAGCACTCACTCCCCTAGTAATTGTTGGAGTGTCCCATTTCTGTAGTCACAGAGCAGATACCGCGGAGGATTTCATAAAGTATAGAGTGAATGTTAGTAAATAAAGGGTATTGTGTTCACTTGCAATACCCAATCATGTTCACAGAAATGAAAAAAAAACAGGATTTTTGCTAGAACACGATTGGTTTGTTGTGTGAACCCAGCTTCATTTTATTCACTCAGTTCAGTGATCATTCAATGACTAGAATGTTTGCCTAAACCCGTAATCCATCAGCCACAGCCTCCGCTCCATAAACAATACATACAAGCAGACCGGCGCAGTGCCGGCGATGTCACTTTTGAGAAACTTTACTGACGCAACACGAGTACACGCTGTAGTTCCCCCCTAGACACGGCCTCTCTAACACATTTCACCCATAAGGGCTTCATTGTAGCCATTAGAGGGTTGTCACCGGCTGTGTGTTTGTACCATACGGTCTCTTATTCATTTCCTACATCGACTCCTCTGTGTCTCCTGCACTGTACAGTAACTACTAAAGTCCTTCTCGGGCTTCAATTTAAATATGAAACAATGTTTGCACAATATATATAAGAGAATGGTAATAATTACGGCATTTTTACATAGTTACATAGTATTTGAGGTTGAATAAAGACATTAGTCCATCAAGTCCAACCTATTAGGATCTCATTCTAGGAGTACCCGTACCCCTGTATATTACGGTCCCTTAAGAAATCGTCCAAAAGTTTCTTGAACAATTCCACATTATTTGCTGAAATCACCGCCTGTGGCAGTGAGTTCCAGACCCTAACTGATCTTACTGTGAAGAACCCCCTTCGCCCCTTGTGCTGGAATTTTTTTTCCACCAATTTTAGGTGGTGGCCTCTAGTTTTTGTAACGGAGTTAATTTTAAACAGTTTATCGCTAATGTTGCTACCACCATTAAACATTTTGTACATGGAAATCATATCCCCCCTTAATCTCCTCACCTCTAATGTGAACATGTTTAAATTTAGTAGCCTTGTCTCGTAGCTCTGGTCCTCCATACCCCTAATTAGTTTGGTTGCCCTCCGCTGGACTTTTTCCAACTCAAGGACATCTTTTCTTAGTACTGGTGACCAGAACTGGACCGCGTACTCCAGATGAGGTCGAACCAATGATCTATAAAGTGGCAAAATTATAGACTTGTCCCTGCAATACATCCCCTTTTTAATACAGGACAAGACCCTGCTAGCTTTGTTTACAGCAGCCTGGCACTGCAAACTACCTTTCAGTTTGTGGTCTACAGTTTGCTTTTTCTGTGAACTCATTTAAGTATTACTGGTTAAATTGGCAGTTGCTGGTGTTTAATTTGTCCCCATTAGCTGCTAAATGAATGTTTTCAGTACGAGCCGTCACATAAACCGCCATTTATAGGCTGATTTTGTTTATGATGTGATTTAGAGCAGAATAGACTTTGTCGCCTCAAACGCCAACAACATTCCCACAAAACGTTCCTTCTCTCTCATGAATGCAATCTAAAAGCTTGATTGTCATTGCATACCGGATACAATGTACTGATGAGTGCTGAATGTATTTCTTTTATGAACTAGATAGCAGGCCTAGGATGTTTTGTATCAAGCGGCAGGTGGCAAGCTAACAAGTGAGAAGTAAGCAAACGTATATCTGCTAGTATTCATACATGATATCTTAGATGATATGAAAATGCCCGATGCCTAGAAAAGTTATCAATGTATGTAGATTATTGATGTAATGTTAATGAATTTGGCACTGAACCATCCAATTAAGCCCAAAGACTGTATGGGGGAGATTCTATCAGCTGAAAATTAGCACTGCACCCGCATAAAACACGGGCCTGACCACTTGTGCATGTGCGTTATGTGCGTTAACCATTACCCACACAATGGTATATTGCTCACAAAACAATCCAGGGGTTACAAATCCAATTGCGACCGATGGTACCAGATCGGCTCCTGATTCTTGAGAAATCCTCTTTGTAGGCTTCATGGCAGTGCATGTTATTTGAGCTCGTACTGTTCCTCTGATATCGGCATTGATTAGGAGCGGTTCATGTTGTATCAGGAGGGTTCCAGTCCTGCACTCGCTTGTCGCCTAGATGGTCAATGGTTCCACTATACCATGTACTGTACCTACTATGTGTATTGATGATAGAAAATGATAGGAGAGCAATATTATTAGGATGAAATAATCAAAATCCTGCAGATTTGTTTTGTGCTGACCAGTTTGTTTGAGTGCTGGACAATGTTCGTATTGTTCAATGTACACTTTGCCAGAGTTATATTACAATCTGGAAAGTGCTGAGAGTTCTTTCCCAGACCACATGTGAATGTGAACAGGCTGTAAGTGCAGAGTGCATGTGTGTTGTACTGCATTCAGAGCAAAAGGAAGTTAAACTGACACCTCTCATAGGATTGATTAAACCTTATACAGAGTGCGGGTGCAGTGTACATGGCTGAGCAGCCTTTGTGCTGGACATGGACCCTTTTCTTGTGACTCGTGAGACTCCCGTATACTGCAGAGATGCTTAATACATGGTTCAGTGAACATGCCACTTCAGCTTTCTGCCCTGAGCTGAGCTGAATACAAAGCAGCAGAAGTTGTGTTCAGAGATGTGTTTACAAGGGAGAGGACATGTTGAGTAATATATTGTGTCTTTTAGGAGTGGCTGTGTGCAACATCCCATCAGCGGCTGTAGAAGAGACCGCCGATTCTACAATCTGTCACATCCTCAATCTTTACCGAAGGAACACGTGGCTGTACCAGGCACTGCGAGAAGGGACACGGGTACAGAGCGTGGAGCAGGTCAGAGAAGTAGCGTCTGGAGCAGCCCGTGTACGCGGAGAGACTCTTGGCTTAATAGGATTTGGTAAGTACTATGCTGCCGAGCAAGCTATAATGGGCCTTGTACTACAAACTCCAGAACGACTACTCAGACACAAACCGCCCAGATAAAGAGTTTGGAAGCTGCAAGGCAACACAACACCGTTCTTATTTTAGACACTTTCACATAGAAGCCCCATTATCATTGCAATCATTTTATTGAGTACAATATTTCCCATGGGATAGTTGCTGCAGCAATGGGCGATTACAATACGGATT